CCTCTCAGCTGCTGGGCCCCCTCCTCCGTCAGACACGCGGCCAGCACCCTCAAGCCTCGCAGGTCCAGCTGCCTGGCCAGCAGGTTCCCGAAGCCCGAGTCGCAGCCCGTGATGAAGACGTACTTGTCCTGGAGGTGGCTCACCACCTGCCTCTCCCAGTACCAGCGCAGGAGGTAGTAGAGGCCCACGAGGGCCACCACGGACAGCCACATGGTGAGGGGAGCACACAAGCTGAAATGAAATGAATGTGGCCAGTGTTCGGGCAGGACGACTTAAGAACACACAGGATGTGAGCAGCTGGCCAGCCTCCAGGCTGTCTGACGTAGGGTCTTCAGGTTGTTCCTGGCCGCCATCTTTAGTGAGTCTTATTGATTCGGGGGCCAACTTGCAGGCTCTCTGGTACACTTATGCCCTTTCTACTAGATGCCATTGGATTTCACAAAGAATCTTTTGACATGGAGACACTTTTCCCAGTCACCTCTCCTCCCACTCCTCCATTTCCCTCTGCCCACCTACTCCCTCTCTCTCTCTCTCTCTCTCTCTCACACACACACACACACACACAGGCACACACACTGGAGTCCCCTATGTCCTAGAGCTCAGGTTCAGAACTATCTATTTCATTCTTGGTCAAGTCTGGAACCCTGGTCTCCCTGACTTACTGGAGATTCTTATAAAGGTGATAGATACACTGTGAATCAAGACGCACGTGGTTTCGAAACCCAGCTCTGCTACCAACCAACCAGCCGTGTGGCCTGGGGCTGCCAGTGGAGGGGCTTCAGGGTGAGGCAGAGGACACCACTTCAGCAAAGGGAGAGTGGACAGAGCTGAGGCCGGGTCAAGACCAGAAGCCAGTTGGACTGCTCTGGGCTTCTCCCTCCCTGTCCACATTTATACAGCTCTGGCAGGTAAATGAGAACTAGGAGAGGCACTGGGAGGGGCAGAGAGGCTTCCCCGCAGGAACCAGAGGCGAGCTTGCCCCCAGCTCTCCCCCAGCAGGTGAAAAAGACAGAAAGGGGCACCGATCAAGGCTTTAGTTGAAACTGTTCTGTGCCAGGAGCCGACGGTAGTCCTGAAAGTGTTTGTCTCTTAAGGTGGGAGGTGGTAGCAGCATGGCCAGGCCTGGTCCTGCAGAAATGAGCCTGTCCCTGCTTCCTGGGGTCACTGCTGGGACCCTCCTACATGGGCTTCCCAAAGGGTTGGGGAGGAAGAAAGCAAGGAGGAAGGAAGGAGCCCTGGAAACTCTCAGGGGTACAAGGCAACATGCACATCCTAACTGGACACCAAACCCCATGAAGGGATCAGACCATGTTTCTTTACTTGCAAGGAACTGGAGGGTTTCTTCCTCAGTGACCACAAATTCCTTCACCATCAATTTTCAAGGGGCCACGCAGCAGAGACATCTCCCAGCCCTCAACGCGTGCTGCTGCACTCTTGTAAATCCTCAAAGCAATGTGACCACTTGCCGGGGTGCCAGGAGCTTCAGAGTCCATTTCAGGTGGGAACAGTCAGGAAGTTCAGAGAGGGCAGTAAGAGAAAAGGAGGCGGGGTGCCCCTCACTTACCTGGGAGCTGTGGGGGCCAGAACGAGAAACCCTGCAGCGGCCCCAGGGGGATGGAGACTAGTTGCCACGAATCTCTGCACTGAGATCCTGCACAGGACGTCTGGACAGTGAGACAGGCGACCTGCGGAGGGCGAGGCTGCTCTGCCAGGCTCCGGGACGGCACCTGAAAGCCAAGTGCGCGGCGGGGCGGAGGCGCACGCCCCCTGGTGGTGCCCTGCTGGAGGCTCGGCAGGACCACCTCCCAGGCGGCCCCACCCCCACCCACTGCCTCTTCACCCACCATGGCTCATCTGAAGAGGGGAGCCATAGGTGATGGGAAAGGGAGCTGGAGAGGGCAGGGAGTGGGTACTGATTGTGCAAGCTTGTTTCCAGCCCTACGAGTATGCAGCCTCCGCCACCGGAGTGGGAGCCCAAAACTGTGGAGACACAACCCTGCCTTCAGTGTGAGGATCTGGTACATGGATTTCTGCCGAGTGTGTCCCACCTCCTACCACAGGAAGGCTCTCCACGCTAAGCCCCCTCTGGCTCTATTCCCGGGAATATGTGCTCTGCAGAACCGAGGTCTCTACAAACACTAGACTTCTAAGCACCTGAAAACCAGCCGTTCTCATGCCAGCTTGCCAGGAATCCACGCCTGTCTTCTTCCCCCTCTGGCTTCAGGGTCCTCCCCAAACAACGAGGGCATTGGTGGAAACAGCGGTCCCCAGGTCTGACAAGCCTGGATCTTCCCTGGGGTCACCAGGTGACCACATGGGACCACGGGGATGGAACAAAATGTCCCCACTGTGTGGGGGACTCCGAGACTGCAGGAGGGACCTGGGTCTGTAGGAGGCGCTAGAGATGGGCCAGGGCGGCCACACAAAGGTTTGCTTCCTTCTCCCCAGCCCACAGCTCACTCACCAGATGCCAGGAACTTCTCCCCATAGAGCTCCTTCACCTCAGGGCTGAGCCGGTCCCATGCCTCCTGGGTAGCCCTAGAAATCTTCTCAGGGTTGGTGACATCAGTGTTGAAGTAACCAGGCTCGATCATAGCTACCTTCACTCCAAAGTAGGAGAGCTCCCTCCTGCAAGGCAGACAGGCAGAGGGGCAAGGACTTGGGAGGCCTTGGGGACAAACACGACAAAGAAGTTTACCGAGTCATTATTTATATTGAATGTGATGAATGAAATGTAGGAAACAATTTCCCAGCATACTGCGAGGTGTTGCTGAAGTGCTGAGAGCAGGACCCAGCTCCAGCAATGTCCCCAGCCACCAGTGCAAGCCTTCAGGCCAGGTCCCCTGTCTCAGCTCCTCCTCCAGAGAGGGAGCCTCCCTAGGCACTCAGCATAAAGAAATCCAGAACTTCTGCTGAGAGAGAGAGGGCACCATAAAGAGGAATTCTGGGAGGGCAAATCCTCATCAGGGCACATTCTCCCCAAAACTCCAGAGCTCCAAGGTCTCGAGGTGGGGGGGCAGCTGAGAGAGAAGAGGCTCTGCTGATTAGCTGGGTGAGGTGAAGAAAGCTAGTATGACTTCAAGTTCTGGAAAACATCCTGGAAATCTTCCCAGCTAGCAGAAGAGAGGTCTCCCTTGCACAGAGAGAAGCAATGAAGAGACACAAATGAATCTGGGTGGTACCTCTGTCCCTCACACGCTCCTTCACCCACTGGGCGGCCGCAGAGATGCTCTCTGTCTTGGTGACGTCCAGGATCACCGTCTCCAGCCTGTCTGACGTCTGGCCTCTCAGCTGCTGGGCCCCCTCCTCCGTCAGACACGCGGCCAGCACCCTCAAGCCTCGCAGGTCCAGCTGCCTGGCCAGCAGGTTCCCGAAGCCTGAGTCGCAGCCCGTGATGAAAATGTACTTGTCTCGGAGGTACAAGCCCAGGAGGTAGGACAGGCCCACGAGGGCCGCCAGGTACAGCCACATGGCTTTGCAGGGAACAGATGGATAGGCTCTGATCAGAAAATAGTCTGGCCTCCTCAATCCGGATAGCTATGAAGGCAGTCTGGCCTCCAGGTTCTCTGGCATGAAGTCTTTCATTTCCCTCCTGATCACGGTCTTTCTGGAACATTTTTTTCCTATCCCCAACCTCTCTGCTCTTTGGGCTACTTTTATAAGTGCTGACGTATGCCCTTGAAAAGCCCAAATCCTGCCCAGAAAGGAAACATGGTGACAACAGTGCCCCCTCACCCTTTGACTGCACTCTGCTCTCTGCATCCATGTGGCCACACTGAGTGACACAGGCCACTCTCTTCTGGCTTCCAGCTTTAGAACTGTTTCACTTGTCTGCTGACATGCTGGACCTGGAGATTCCCCAGCTCAGGAAGGTTCTTACTAGGAAGCTACACTTTGATTCAAGACATATTTGCCTTCAACATGTTCCCTGAGCCTGGGTTTCCTCCTCGGGCTCAGGGTACACATCACTCCTCAGAAATCTAAGTCACTGTCAGCCTCTCTAAGGGTTAGAAGAAGGCAAAGAGTCGAAGGTCCCCTCCTGCTGTAGTAGTTCTCTGAGGCAGACAGATGTTCAGGAGCCTGAAGGGGAATCTGACCTCACAGGCGAAGAGATGGGAGAAGGGAATGCGGACGGGCACACGCAGGAGAGAGACCGCTCACTCCCAGTCGCTCCCAGTCGCTGGGAGGGTTGAAAGCAAGCACTTTGGCAAAGCGGGTGTCGCTCCATGGAGATGCGCCATCCCCAGCCGGGGGGCCTGCTTGCATTGCCCTCTGCCCTCCCACAGCCAGAATCCAGACCAGACACAGACTCCAAAGGCAGAAAAGACCAGTTTGCACAGGGGCCAAGGGAGGGGGTGTCCTAAACCCCGCCGAAGCAGGCAGGGCTGTGTGTCTGGGTGATGGTGGGGAGGAGGCGGGAGCTGCCCCCTCAGCACACAAAAGAAAGGACTGGGGACCGGGCAGAAGAGCTGTGCACGGAGGGACTTCAGGGTGAGGCAGAGGACACCACTTTGGCAAAAGGAGAGTGGACAGAGATGGGGCTGGGGCAGCTTCCTCAGGGCAGCCCAGTGGCCTCTGACAGGATTGGGCTCTAGTCCCTGCCTATATCCACTGGACTACACCAGCCACCTTCCCCAGGAAAGAGGCCTGGGACGGAGGTGAGTTGTGCAGAAGCTCAGAGGAATACTGAGGCTGGCTCATATTGGGCCTCTTCGTCCACGCGGCTCTCCTGCCCTCATGGCGGGCCCTTGAGCTGTAGCCCTGGGCAGGGCCCTTCAGCAAGCTTCAGCGTTTGTGTCCTGCAGGAAGCACTAGCCGAAATCAGACACCTAACTGGTGCACAGCTCCCTGACACTCCAGAAAGGACCTCTAGATGTGGTCCCAAACCTCTTGCACACCTTTCCCCAAGAGGCCACAAAATGGCTGGATCATCATTGCTTGGGGGGAAGAAAAATGGTAGAAATCCAGAAGCTCCAGGTGAAGCCTGAAGCAATGCTTTCACGTGAATGAAGCATATGGGGCACACCCCATTGTGCTGAACACCTAGAGCATTGAACACTGCAGCCCCTCGGGGGCAGGGACAGGTCCAGCCCCTGGCAGCACCCCGCATCCTGCAAGATGAATGCATGCAGAGGTAGATGACTCTGCTGCACCCCACTTCGCTCTCCATTTTCACCTGCATTTCTCATGTTGTCCGACCACATGAGAGTCCCCAAAGCCTCCATTCCTTCTTCTTTATAATGAGGGAGGAGGATCAGGAGGATCTCATGAGTCCTATCAATTCCAACTCTTGGGGAATTTAAGAATCCCTATGTTGTCATCAAGGTGGAACCCTAGGAAGTTGAGGCCTCCAGAAACACTGAAGAATTCAAGGGGCATTTCTGCCCAGCACACGTCAGGTGCTCAACCAAAGTTAGTGGAAACTGAATAAATCTGGAATCAGCAAGGGACTGTCAGCACATCTACAGAACCGCCCCCCCCCGCCCCGACCCGGGGGTGGGATGTGCTGGAGATCAGGAAGTGTGGGGATTCTGAGGGAGGAACAGAAGCCAGGAGACGGATAGGAAATTACAGAGTAGCGAAGAGCTGAGGCATGCCGGAAGACTGCTGGGTGGCGCCAGTTTCCCTGGGGGCCTTCCAGTCTTCAGTCTTTCCAAGCCTCCTCTTCTTTGCACTAAACTTACACAGCTCCACATACACTCTCTTGGGAAATCATAGGGAGGAAACGGTTGTCCTTCATCTTGTGGAAGCAAAGACCATTCACCTTCCCTTTCTCAACCCCTCCCCAGGTCATCCCGTGAAAGGGACTTTGCCTTCACTCAAGAAATTTCCCAGAATTCCAAGGGCTGAGTCACCTCCACAGAAGCGTAGGCCATACCCCACTTTTTTTTATCCTAGCTGCATCCATGAGAGGTGCTTTGAGGGCAGTCATTTTTAACATTTTGGACATCATGGACCCTTTTGAGACTCTAAGCCCCATAAAATGACTTAACACACCATACAGGATTTTGAATATACTTTTTAGGGGGTTCATAGACCACCTAAAGCCACTAGGTGCCAGGAATCCAGGTCAAGAATCCCTGTAATAAGGGTTTACTGAAATACTAGCTTTGGGACTCAGGCAAGTTGTTTAAAATCCCTGTGCCTCACGATATGATAGAAGCCTTGTCTACGGTAGTAGCCACCTCGTCCAGTCATTGTGGGGATTAAATGAGGCACCTGGCAACGTCGAGCACCTCGCAATTATGCCTAGTAAATGGTAAGTATTCAATAAATGTTAACTGTTACTCTTACTACTTCTCTTTTGTGGTACTTCATAGTGGCATTGGGGATGTTCTTGACCTGTGTAAGAAACACAACACCAGACAACTAAATAAAAGAGGAAGCTGGTGTTGATCCAATTCAGAGAAGAATGGCTCATAGTGGTGGGACTAAGGAGAGGTATCTCAAGGTAATTCCACAAGAAAGGATCTCTTCTTCCTCACTCCCAAAAAGTGGGAAAGAGACATGCTTATGCCAAGCACTGTACATATCTCATCTCTTGCATCCCATACAATAACCCTTATCCTCACTTCACATATAAAGAAACTGAGACTCAGAAAGATAAAGGGGTTGTGCAAAGTCACATGGCTACTAAGTGGGAGAACCAGGTGTCAAAGCCAGGTCTGGTCCCCAGACTAGTGTTATCTCCACTGTGTCTCAGTGAAGAGTGAGGAAGCAGGAAAGACCTGAGCAGAATCAAGGACAGGGTCGCTGGACCACCTCCTTCTTTGGGGAGCCTTGGGGAGCTCCTTATCTGGTGCTGTTGGGCAGACAAGTCCGCCTCCCTGGCATGGAGAAGCTGTGGCAGCGGGGCAGAATGACTTCTGTGGCTGGGCTTGGCTTCTGCCCTCAGTGACCTCCTGGAAGCTAGGCTGGCGATGGAAATACGATCGTTGTCAAAGTCCTCAGCCTGGACGGGTCCACAGTCCATCTGCCCTCCACACATGATGTAGGGTCCTCAGTCACACAGGCCAGCCAAATGGGGGGATTCCTGGGCTGGCCTGTGCAGCCCCTTCCTCCAGGGTCCAGGCACGAGCCCTTGGCCCCCACCTGACCCTGGGAAGCTGCCTGCTTTTATCTGTGTCTCCAATAACTCCTCCCTGGTACCTTCCTTCCTTTCTGATTGTTGATTACAATGTCTTGTCTACATTTTTTGGAAAAAAAAGTTGGGGGGAGTAGGAAGGAGAAAGAGCAAATTTCCAGGAATTGTTTTGCTGCTGATGGTTTCTGTTACTTGGAGCACAGCTCTTTGCCCCCCCCCCCCCCCCCCTTCCCGCCCCGCTCAGGCTGGCAAGAAGCCTGGGTCCTGCCCCCTCTGCCTTTCCCTTCCCTCCAATCTCTCTCTTTCCAGCTGCACACCTCCTCCCTCCGAAGAAAAACAGCCACATGAAAACTGCAGAGCTGTCGCTTATTTCTTCCTGAGGGAGCAGCTTTCCCTCTGTGCCTCAGCCAGAAGGCACCACCAGCATTTCCTCCTGCTGCAAATACACATTCAGTGATGTGGGGGCAGGGGGCCCGGGGGCAGGTGGAGGCGAGGCTGCAGGGGATGATGTCTCCACATGGCGGGGGGAAGGTCCGGGGATGAAAGAATCGGAGACCCAGGAGACGTGAGCCACTAAAATGCAGTCTTGAGAGGAATGGAAATGGCAAGGAGTCAGAATGTGTAGAGAGAACAGAGACCAGGACTAGGGTCTTCCTGGAGGGATGGTCTAGTAGAGCCTCCGTCTGCATGGGTCAAAAGTACAAGGGAGGAAGTGAGAATTCTCAGAAGGCTCCCTATTGAAAAACGATATCCATAGGATAGAAACTGAGATCCTAAAGAGAGAGAGAGAGTAGAAGAGTCTGGAAAAAAATCAAAGTAAACCACATTTTACATTGTCACAGCTCAGCTCATCATGACAGATTTCTTTTTTTTTTTTTTTTTCATGACAGATTTCTTGATCTAGGGGAGGTCTGATGTGTGAGTAGAAGTGTGACATAATAAGAAAGATATCAGTCCCCAATTCCTGAGCTCCTAAATCCCTTAGAAGATTTCCTAGATAGCTTCAGGATGGGGACTGGTTCCCAGAAATACCAAGCCTTGATTAGAAGCTTGGAACTTCCAACCTCACCTCCCATCCTCTGGGGATAGGTCAGAGACTAGAGATAAAACTAATAATAGATCATGCCTATGTGTTTCAGCAGCCATAAAAATTCCTAAACTATGAGGTTCAGAGAGCTTCTGGGTTGGTGAACATATCTACATGCCAGGAGGGCACTGTACCCCAACTCCATGGGGACAAAACTCAGGACCCTTCCCAACCTCACATTATATACCTCTTTATCTGGCTGTTCGTTTGTATCCTTTATAATAAACCAGTAACGAAAGTGACTGTTTTCCTGAGTTTTGTGAACCACTCCGGCAAATTATTGAAACTGAGGTGGTGGGA